TGTAGAGGCATTTGAGGCCTCCTGTGGATGTGTGTACTGCCCCGCTAGTCCCAGCATTGCCTTGGCCCCCATTGCTTACCTGTTTGCTCGTTTCGCTTGTTGGTCTAGGCTGGGCTGTAGTTGTGGGTGCTGTTTGGTCTGGCAGCCTGATGTTTCCTCCGCCCTCATCTTCCCCTTCCCGCGACGAGCCTAGTTTAAAGCCCGCTGGAGGAGGTCCGCCAACCTAGAAGAGAACACACGCTTACCTTTAGGGGAAAGGTGGAGCCCATCCCATCCAAGCATGTCTGCTACAACGGTTATTAAAATACACTGCAGATATATACTTGACATATTGCTGACTCTAAAATTTAAAAAATGAGTCTGCTCCAGTGCCCAAACTTATGAGATGGTTTAACAGAAATCATTATTTTCTTTAAACAATACTTTGTGTCTTTTCATGTGGGCTCAGGCCATTTAGCGAATGGGAATCCTATTCCACTTTATGTGTCTAAATAGAACATACAAAGCTGCCTATCTATACTCTTTGGTTTTTATGCAGAGTTTGGGTTTCTATTTCCTCCTATGATGAAGTAGAATCACCTTGTGCACATACCCACTGGAGGTAAAGTGGAGGGAGGAAGGGCTCTCCCACCTTATAGCCCAAGAGTCCTAGTGCCATGGCATCCTGTGGTCCCATGAGATCATTTTAAAGCTGCCATGGAATGCCAGGTAATATTAGCACTGCTGGGTGTGCAAACACAAGATTTACAAGATAAACCCTGAGATTTTGAACAGAAATCCAGAGTGTCAAAAATCTTCTGACCCGCTGTGCTCTTTCTGCTCGTTGCAACAAAAGAATTGCTCTCATATTTTTCCACACACAAAAAACAAGTGAAAGGTAAGAGCTGACATTTTCCAATGGGCGAGTTTAAAAAGGCTGAGATCCACTGGTCATGGCACTTGCATTAGATGTGGAAGACCTGGGTTTTAGCCTCCCCGCAAAGAAAATTTAAACCTACATTTCCTGCTCCCTAGCAAAATAGTCTGCTATAGTCTCCACAGGCTAGGTATTGACCAAAGCTGTTTTCACCTCGCCCCTTGAAGCTGGTGCTTGAATGCATCTTGCATTTTACATTCATTGGATAAAATGAACTGAAGATTCTGCCAATGGTAGAACCCTTCCAGATGCTCTCATGTGGTCCCTTATATATCTTTTTCTTGGTTATGGCCAGCTGCAAGGAAAGGGCTGGATGATGCCTTACCCATGGTATGATGGTTAAAGTACTGTGTGAGGAAGCAGGAGCTACAAGTTAAATACCTGCTTTCCCCCCCCCTCCAAGGTACAGAACCCCTAGAACTCTGGTTTCCTGCTCCCTGTATAAATGCTTGCTTCCCCTCTCCCCCTTATGGCTATATGTTTCGCCAGACAAAAATTTCAGGACTTACATGCATAAGCTGGTGCTCCTATTTCATTCTGCAGCTGACCAGCCAGAGGGCAGCCTATTGAGCATACCCAGGCCTATGTGTAGAGCTTAATCCTTTGGTCCTGTAGACCAGATGAGTGGCATAGGCCAGACTGGGTCTCCACACACCAGGATCAGGCCCTGGGCCCCACATCTCTCACCCAGCCCTACGCATCAGAATCAGGCCCTGAAGCCCCATGCCACCCCTGCCTGGCCACACATGCCAGGCCTTGTGCTGCCCTGCACACCCAATCTTGCA